TTGCGCTGCCTCTGGCCACAGTTTTTTTCCAGCAGGCATTGAAAGTTTCAGTTTCCATCTCCTGAATGGCCAATCTGTATTAAATACCGTAACTTTATTGGCACTCAGGTAGAGAAGAAGCGCAGAGACTGTTTTTACCAATCATACGGTCAATCAGTATGCAGAACACTGTGGAAAAAACTACAAAAAAATCTGAGAAGCAGCGATACCGTGAAAGGTGAACCGTGTTATAGCTAGGGATCACTGTATATGAAATAATTTATAAAAAGCAACTGAGTAATTTGTAGAATGGCTGTATATCTGAGTTTATCTGGGACTTCATTCTCATGCCTGGCCTCATAATGCCTCAACATTGAAAAGGTGGATTTATTTAAATAAGACAGTTTAGTCAAACATATGCGACACTTAACCTGCAGAACATAATATGAAAGTAAACTACGAGTCAATTTCAGCTGGATTTGGATTCAGATAGATCAAGTAGAAACTGACAAGAACCGGATGAAACAACAAAATGAAAACAAATTTATTTTCCAATATAAGATCAAAATGGTCCCACACTGAGGAAACCTTTTATTTGAGGCTGCTCCATAGTTGACACTGTTCTGTAAAAGATCAAGAGTTTGTTTGGCAAATGCTTTTGACAGAATGACAGATTTGCTTCCTTATAAACACAGTTTGGCGCTTTAATGTCATTTCGAAACAGTTCACATGACTTGCTGAAACCAATATGCGCACCGAGACGGGTTTTGGTCTATGGGCTGGACACATGCACCGACGGATCGGTGTTGCTGGACCCATCACTAAGCATATATATACATCTTGCTGAGAAGTTGTGTTTTAAGTCAGTTTTGTCTTATCTCAAGTGTAATAAGATATTTACTCTAGAAACCAAACCAAAAATACTTGGCAAGACTCGGTGTTCTTGCAGTGTAAGAAGTAGAGTTAAAAGGCAAACATTTTCTTATAAAGAAGGGACCTAATTCTCATAGATCCTGCTGGGAAAATGAAAAATGCTCTGACAAACACAGAGTTGAACTTTTTGGCCACAGATAAAACAGCCATTGTTATGTACTACCAATGGTGATGTAACCCATATTATTCTAATGGATATGAATTACAGCCTATAATACACCTTAAGTGGCAATAAATGGTTTCAAAACACCCTGAAGCTACAGTGATGTGCTACAGAAAATGGGCTAAAACAACCAAAAAAGAAGAAAAAAACGTTTTGTGGTCACTTTATTAATAAAACTGTTTTCTTTTCAATGGTGGTACACAGCAAAGATGTTCAAAGATAGTGGTGGCATTATCTTGATCTGGGCTTATCGTGTTACTTCATCCGAAGAGTGCAGTAGGCAAGATAAGATTTTGAGAACCTTTTCAAGGCAGAGTGGGCGAGTGTTGACAAGTCAACATGTGATCCTAAGAGCCTCAGATGCAGGTGGCTAACTGCAGAATCAAAAGATGCGTAAGCAACAATGTTAGTTTAAGAGTCTCACCAATATTGTAGAAGCAAATTTGCCCTATTTATTTTTCTGACACTTGAAAAATAAAGTACTTCCTGTTTCATAGAAAAAGCTAACTAGTGCAGTTTAGTCCAAACACAAAGCAATTTAGTTCATTCAAAATCAACCCATGGACAGGATTTAAAGGAATCAATCCATAGACAGTGCATTGCTACATTTATTTGATCTGTTTGTCAGTAATCTCTGACTTCTCCCTTGTGTGTGTTCATCTCATCCAACAGCCTCTTCCAGTCGTGCAGTCCACGAGCAGCGGTCTTTTGAGCGCAAGACCGAGGAAGATGATGGGAAAGTGAGTCACGATTAAAGACAAAATGCCTTTTTTCTGTTTGGATCTGATTTTCCTGAACTCGTTCAGTGGATTGAGAGGAAAGTTCTTCATAATGATTGGGTTCAGTGGGTGCACTTGAATGGATGAGGGTGTGTCACCATGAAGACAGGCAGAGTGACAGAGGCTGTCTCGCCTCATGTTCATCCACTCACGCACCCCTGTTGTCACAACATAGACAGCTGAAACTGAGGGTTGAAAAACTGCTGTGCTAGGGAAGCTAAAGGGTTAACCTAAGGATTAGATTGATCTTGAATAAACCCTACATAGGGGCCATATTTTCACTTCAGTGTTGAGAAAGGCTCTAGAGCAGCCTTTCTCAAACTACTCTAAAGCAGTATCAACAGATGGTCCGTGGGCGCCCCCTAGTGGTCCTGAAGTGCTGCACGTGAACGATCATTTTATTTTACGTGAGGTTAGTTCAAAGTGCAACACTATAATTAGGTTACCAAAGGATTGTGTCAAAATTAATGATGGAAAACTGACTTAAAACTGGATCGCTCAAAAGAAAAGCTGCAGATGCCAGTGGAAAGAAAACAACTCCTTGAATATTATATGATCAGAGGAAACTGAGTCAGAGCTACTGAGTGTTGATGTGTCTGTCGTTCACTAGTGATTGGATTCCTTTGAATGGGAGGAATCACTCCAGTTGGTCAGAACTGTTCTTTGTTTTTTTATGAATAATGCTCTGCTTTCAGGTCAACAACTATTCTTATTTTTAATTAATTAAAAATATAAAATGAATACAATTGCTAGAAATTAGTTAATGATTTTTATATTTAATGGCGCAGAAAAGGATTTTTTGTTTCTGTTAAACACAAATAGCCCTAAATATTGTTAATGTACACAACACTTGGTAGTATTGAAAAACGTTTTTTATTTTCATGGATTAAAAAGCTTGCACTCCACACTTTCACAATCTGGAACTAACTCAAAATGCCCAAGTGGACATGTTCATGGCTTTGTTGTTCGCCAGTCACATTTCCCAAACAGCACCACTCTTCTCATTAAGATGAACAAAGAAAACAACAGTGCATGAGGTAAGAGACTAATATTTTCATTACAGGTTATATATAAATATTAAGATGTGTTATCGCAGGGACGATTTCAGGTTAGGTGATCCGTGACTGTTAAATGGGTTAAGTGGTCCTCAGCCTGAAAAGGTTTCAGAAACACTGCTCTAGAGGAACCCTGTCAGCAGTGTCTTTGTCTTGTGTTGTAGAAGCAGGCTGTGGTGACGTGGCTGGGAGAGTTTCAGCTGCAGTTCTACACCACCCATTTCCTCACTGCAGGATATGATCTAGACACCATTAGTTGCATGACCCCTGAGGTAAGGTCATGACCTCTTCATCGGTCCATCACGGACCTGGATCATCATGGGTCGTCTGTCTGTGTCAGCCATTCTTCATTTATCTACCTGTTATTACACATTCAGATTATCCAGTCTGATTTGGCAGCACAGATTAACTGCTTAACTTTTACTCTGCATGAAGAGGAGGATTTCAGAGAACAAATGGCAGATGCAGTTAGTTCCCTCAAGTCCAGAAGATGCAAGAAATATGCAAATTTTTTTGCATAATGTTGCAGTTCTCTTTGCTTCAGCAACAAACACATATGACATAATCCACACTAAAGGCAGTGGACACTCATTGGTGCTTACACTAACCAAAATGTTCTAGAAGACATGTCACATGGAACTCATGTAGTAATGTCAAACTAGCATCAGATCATTTCTATATTATGAAAAAAACTTTATGCTAGTGGTGAGCACCTTATGTGTCTAAGTACATTTCTCTTTCAGGATCTGACGGCAATTGGCGTTATGAAGCCTGGACATCGAAAGAAGTTATTGTCAGAAATCAGCAAGGTGCCCTCCACAGACTGGCTGCTTGACCACAAACCTGTAAGGCATTTCCAGGGCTGTGTGAATTTTTGGCAGCAAAAGTATTGTGCTTCAGTTTTGAATCACGTTTAATTTAGGGTTAGGGTTACTCTATATTTTGTAAGGTCCAAACTTTCTTGAAACTACAGAGGCTTGAAAAAGTATTCATACCCCTTGAACCTTTGCATATTTTGTCAAATTACAACTACAAACAAACATATTTCAATGTAATTTTATGTGAAGTCCAAAGAAAATTACATGATTCAAAACATTTCTGGCAAATAAAAAATGAAAGTGCAGTGTGCAAAAGTATTCAATAATCAAATTCTCTTTGTATAGCAAGGCATTTCAAAATACTTTACATCATAAAAACACAAAGTCATGCAACATAGAATCAACAATCGAAACATTACATTTGTCAATGCCATCGTTAAATTCTTAATCAATTATGTTCCCCCTAACCAGGTAAGTTTTAGTCTAGATTTAAAGGGACTCAGTGTTTCAGCTGTTTTGCAGTTTTTTGGAAGTTTGCTACAGATTTGTGGTGCATAGAAGCTGATCGCTGCTTCTCTATGTTTGGTTCTGGTTCTGGGGTTGCAGAGCAGAACCAGAAGACCTGAGAGGTTTGGAAGGTTGATACAACAACAGCAGATCTTTAATGTATTGTGGTGCTAAACCGTTCAGTGATTTATAAACTAACAACAGTATTTTAAAGTCTATTCTCTGAGCTACAGGGAGCCAGTGAAGGACTTTAGAACTGGTGTTCCTGGTTTTAGTGAGAACATCAGCATCAGCGTTCTGGATCAGCTACAGCTGGAGGATTGATTTGTTGGACAGACTTGTGAAGACGCTGTTACAGTAATCAATGCGACATGAATGAGTTTCTCTAGATCGTGCTGAGACATTAGTCCTTTAATCCTGGAAAGGTTTTTTAGGTGATAGAAGGCCGACTTTGTAACTGTGTTTATGTGGTTCTGAAGGTTCAGGTCAGAATCCATCACTACTCCCAGGTTTTGGGCCTAATCACTAGATTTTAGCTGTAATAACTGAAGCTGTGTGTTGACTCTAGTTCCCTCCTCTTTAGGTCCAAAAATAACTTCAGTTTTGTTTCTGTTCAGCTGGAGAAAGTTTTGTCTCATCCACACATTTATCTGTTCTAAGCATCTATTCAGTGATTGGATGGGTTCAGAGTCACCTGGTGACATCGTGATATAGAGCTGTGTATCATCTGTGTACTATTCAGCCCCACTTTCTCTGAGTTCAACCGATTGTCCTCAGAAGTTACCTGTTGACGATTAAACAGAGTCCACCTATGTGTAATCTAATGTCAGTTGAAATCTAGCTGCTCTGTAACGCCTCAGAGGTTGGTTAAGAGAATATTGCATCATAAAGTCGAAAGGAACACAGTAGATGGGTTGAGGAGAAAATTTGGGAAGCTAAAAGCAGACTTGGACTATAAAAAGCTTTCCCAAGCTTTGAACATCTCACTGCTTAATCCATCATCCGGAGATGGAAAAAGTATGGTCCAACTGTAAACCTACCAAGACAAGGCCATCCACCTAAACTTCCAGCTGAACAAAGAGTTCTGATAAGAGATGCAGCCAAGAGGCCCATGGTGACTAAAATGCAGAGATCCACAGCTCGGCTGGGGGAATCTGTCCACTGGGCAACTATTAGTGATGCACTGCACAAATTTGGTCTTTATGGAAGAGTAGCAAGAAGAAAGCCATTGTTAAACAAAAACTACAAGGAGTCTTGTTTGCAGTTTGCCGGAAGCCATGTTCGACACAGCAAACATGTGGAATGAGTTTTGGTCAGACCAGAACAAAATGAAACTTTTTGATCAAAATGCAAAATTATATATGTGGGAAAGGGCTAACATCACCTTGAACAAAACATCCCCTTTGTCAAATGTGGTGGTGGCAGCATCATGCTCTGGGATGCTTCTCTTCTTTTGAGATGTTTCCCTTTGGGATCATCCATCCATCCCTCCATTTTCTGTACACCCTTGTCCCTAGTGGGGTCAGGAGGAGTGTTGGTACCTATCTTCAGCAAACATTTCGGGTGAGAGGTGGGGTGCACCCTGGACAGGTCACCAGTCTGTCATAGGGCACCTTCGGGATCAATAAAGTATTTTTGAATTTGAATTTTGCAGAAGAATAATGAGCAAAAATTTTAGTCACTAGATTAGAGTTTCTCAACGGGGCGGTACCGCCCTCCAGGGGACGGCAGGGAGCGTTGGCAGAAAAATGTACAAAAGGGGGGCACTGCAGTTCCTTTGGGGGGCGTTTGCTCGAAGGTAAACTTTACCCCTCATATGAACAACAATAACTGTTGAGACTTTGAGCTACTTGCTAAAACTGTAGTGTGTAACATTAAAACATGTATGGCTGCAACTGTGTCGATGGCAGCTCTTCTCTTCAGTGTTTCTGTTAGCTTCTTGGCGCAGCTCCAGGAAAGTCCAGGAAACAAAACTGATAAACTCAGGCCCCGTCCTGTTTCGGCGGGGCCTGCCGAAAACAGCGCAGGAGACGAACCCATGGTGGCGAGTACGGAGGCCGGGAACAGCGCAGGAAACACACCCGTCTTGGCGGATCCGGGGGCTGGGAACTGTGTAGGAGGAACCCTCGAAGAGGCGGAAGCTGGCAGTGAGCAAGTTAACCAGGAGTGCTGGCAGATGAATCTGGAGCACCGGCAGATGGGTCTGGAGGTGGCTCGGGCAGGCTAGCCGCAGGCGGAGCGCAGGAAGGCTCGGGCACCACACCGGGGAGAGAGTCACTAATAGGCAACGAGGAGTCACCAAGAGGCGCCGAGGGACCACAGGGTGGAGGAGACATTGATTATTTAATAATCAATGTCAATCAATGTTTGTGTCGGTTCCCGGCCTGGTGTCCTTTGCTGCATGTTTTCCCCCTTCTCTCATTACCCATTTTCCTGTCAATTCACTATCAAATAAAGGCCACTAGAGCCAATGAACCCTTTAAAAAAACATACTACTAGCAGTCAATCATCAAATTTACTTTAAAAAACATTAGATGCCACTTGAATCTCCAAACCCCCCAACACAAGTTGCAGTTTGTTGCAGCAGCGGTTCGGATGTTGCTTCCCAGCTGGGAAGCACCGCAGAAGAGAGGCGGCTGAGCGGATGCTCAGTCAACCCCGGGCTCCATATGGCCGACTCAACCCCGCTCCTAGCTATGGGCTCTCTCCCCCTCGAGCTACCTAGCTTGATCGAGGATAGGCTGCCTCCCCCGCCACGTTCGAAAGATCAGA